GAAGTCCACAGGGAAGTCTGACGACGAGTCTCTGGCGGGGGAGTCGGCGAAGAGGGCGAAAGCAGGGTCAGACTCGTCAATCTGAACATCTGGGTTCTCGACACCAACAGGGGAATCATCCATCTGCTCCTCTGTGTTTGGCGCCCGCTCAATCATAGGGAGTTCATTCTTCGCAGACGATACCTCTGGCAGACATGCTCCGAACAAGGTCGAGCTCTTTCCGGAGAGAATCTCTGTGTCGAGGGCGGGACCCTCGGGAACCTCCAGGACAGCAAAGACAGGTGTGTTGCCATAGCTCATGTCAATTCCGGTGTTCCAAGCCCCATTGTTAAGGCTCATCGCAGAAACATCCATCGTTTGATTAGGAACCATGACCATGCCAACCTGAGGGTTCTGAGGGATTGGGAGACCGTGATTAGGAGTGGCCTCTCTGGGCATGCTAGCTTGCATGGACGGCTGCCCCATGGGTTGTGTTTGAGACTGAGGTTTTATCTGTTGCTGTTGCTGTTGTTGCTGTTGCTGTTGCTGGGATTGAGGGACCTGGCTTTGAGATTGAGGAAGATTGGCAGCGGGGACGCCATTGACGCTCATCTCGTCTAGGAACTGAGAGAAATGAGGGGAGGAGAGGAGCATGCGAGCAAGGTCAGTGAGGCGAGCATTTTCCTCGTACAAAACACGATTCTGAAGACGTAGTTCGTGGGCTTCATTGGTTCGTGCAGCGACCTCTGACTCAAGTTGGCCGATATATTCTAGTCCATGTTAGTACTGCGGATATGGTCCCTGTTCGAGAGTTGAAAGCATACCCTTTCTGCGCGACCTGAAAGCGCGTGCCGAAACCTTGTTGCGCAGCTGCCGACGTTCCTTGCTACTGAGTTTCTTCCCTTCCTCACTGGCAAGTAACCTTTCATCTTCATCCATATCCTGCTCGTCCTTCTTCATCTTTGCCATCTGAGGCAAGGACGACGAGGGCGATGGCGTGTCCTCGACAGTGCCCATAGCGTTCTGTCTCATCTGCTGCAAAAGGCGCGTAATACGTTCCTCCACGGCAGGGTTCGTGGCGCGAGGGGGCTGGCTCTGCTGTTGCTGTTGCTGCTGCTGTTGCTGCTGTTGCTGCTGTTGTTGCTGCTGTTGCTGCTGCTGCTGAAATTGCTGCTGCTGTTGCTGCTGACGAAGCATCTCATGTTGTTTTTGTTGTTGTTGAGCAGCCTTTGCCATGGCTGCTTGTTGCTGGTGCATTCCTGGATACATGCGGCCGACCTGAGTGGAAGGCCCGGCAGGAACGACTTCGTGACCTCCAAGGGCATTGGGATCGATGAATTGATTCTTGTTGACATTCGGTGAGAGATAGTAAGGAACTGCGCCCATGCCGTCAGACTCCAAGTCCATTTCAGACGGGTTACGAGAAGACATGTTGTTGAAATCGAATGAAGTGTCTTCCCGCTTCATGTGGCTGCTAGCGAACATGTCGCCATTCATCTGGTAAGCAGGGCTGGCGTTACCGAACGTCACGCCGGCCATCTGATTGAAGTTCATTGCTTGAGCTAGAGCTCCTGGTGGCAGACCAGTCTGCTGCTTGTGTTCGTCATATTGGTGGCTAGGCCCTTGGAAAGCCATAGGTGAGTGACCATTGGCAGCGAATGTCGCACTGCGAACATCGCCGGCGGTGAAATCTGAGCTGGGGAGAGAAGGCTGGCTTGCTAGGATGGCTTTTGGTCGGGCCGGTTCGGCGGATGTGTAGGTGAGTTGATCGAGGTTGATGAAGCTGTCAATGTCCTGTTCGTACACGGTCGGCATGGGCGAGGTTGATGATGACATGACCGTAGGTTCTGCCAGAGTCGCCATTTTGTTGATGGACTGCGAGTACCTCCGATATCGAACGAATGAAGCGTCCGGTCGATCAACGATGGGTAAGTGATGGAGTGATCGGGCAGCTGAATATATGTATGTAGCGAATGACGGTAGAAGGGCGTGATAGAGGTTTCAAGGATGTACGTATATGCGAGTTTCTAGAAGGATATCGTTCGAGGAAAGAATGGATAGGGAAATGAAGTCGAGAAGATGAACCAAAGGGTCGAAATCAATGGAAACGGTGAGAAAGGTGATAGGATAAGGCAGTCGAAGTTGCAGTAACGGTAGGATGGGTCAGGCAGATTGCAGTAGATCGACCGTGGAAAGGTTGAAAGATAGCAAATAGACAGATAGGTTATGAGGGATCCGAGACTGTGAAGCAGAACAACAGGAGTCGGGAGGTACCACAGATGGTCGCGATAGATCTAGGAGTCTGGAGGAGACACTACTATCTAGGAGGCCTGCGAAGTGGGCACTTTGTCCTCTCCAGGAATAGAAATCAGGTTACCTTAGGTAGAGCGGCTTGCGCGTCCCCCCGCTGACTCAGCCGCGAGAAGCGGAGTCCTTCGTATGCTGTGGCTGTTGATTGGTTGGAGCTCTAGGGCTAACAATGCTGCACCCTAAGGAGGTGATCCACCCCTTCTCAGTCCCGTATTGTTACTGTCTTGGATATGGCAAGTCTTGTGGACAATCAGGAGATCTTGACCAAGATCTGGCAGTTTGTTTACTTTCTAGTCGATCATTGGAGATCCTGTCAACAAGAGATATGCAACCAGTTGACTGCCTGCATGTTATGCTGAGCTTATGTTATCTTTCATCATCAGGTAGGAATACGAGAACTATTTCCCATCAGATACTATTAAGGTAGGGTACGGTATTATTCGGTACCCCTGACCTTCGCCCCAAATAAATCCGTCCAAGATGGTCCTCGTTTGGTGTTTTGTCCTTTGACGCTTTGCTGTTTCAAGTCTGTTTGTCCGACGAAACTGCGCTCCTCATCCCTTTTCCATGGCACTAGGCTTTAAATTAATTGGTTGCCCTTCTCGGAACATGCTCCATTCAAACCCTAGGTCCGTCTTTGAGAATGAAAATGACGTTGGTGGCTCTGAATTGGCCAATGATATGAGAGTTTTGCTTTTAATTTGATGAGACCTTTTTCCCTGGAAATGGATAAATGCCGGATGGTCACATATTTGAGTCTGTTATGTTGCTGAGACATGAAACTCGACATTGAACCATCTGTGCTTCATCCAAGAATTCTGGGCATATTTAAGTATCCCTGGGACAGAAATCATTACATTCCAGTCGTTAGCACGAAACAAACAGACGACGGAGAGACAAGAGGTAGAGCTTCGTATGCGGACCAACTGACGAAAAGGACAGTGCAGACGAAAGGCTTTTGCTAAGTTGAATCTTCACTAATAGTGGTCGTCTTTTGACATCTACTATGAGATAGACAATGACTAGACCGAGCAGCTCGTGGAGATCACTGCTCTGCCTTCTTTCGGATATCAGCGTTGTTCTAGAAGGCCTCAAGACCACTTTGGCTAATTCTCGGCTTCCACAGTCCCCACGTCTCCCATTTTCTGGTTTACGGTGGATCATTGTGAAATCTTGAGGGAAAGCTTGGCACGGCTAAAGAGGTTGAAGAATTCTCTAATCTATCTTGCAATCTGCTATCTATCTAGATAGTTACGTACTACTCCGTCCCTGTTTTTACTACGGCACGGAGGAGTTAGGTAGTGACTAGCCGCACAGCCACTCCTGCAAGCCATCTGACCACTATTGCTTGATCAGCTTTAGCAACTAATTGGCCAAAAGGAGAATCATCGGCAGTGGAACTTGACTACAAGCCTCTGCCAAAGCTTAAAACGGCAAATGTGTTTTCCGTCCAAGTACTCAAACTGACCATGAATCAGTCTATTTGTTTCGACTGGGGATGGCTCGCCCTGTTATTAGCAGCTCAGCCACTAGTTCAGCTGGGATGGTGAGCAACCGACCTCGACTGCGACAAACTCGGAACAGCAACCGGGCCAGATTGCCGAATCCGGTATCGGCGTTAAGCGTTCGTTCGGCCGACGAGCAGACGCCACAGCCAGGCTACACAATATCTTCAAACACGATTGGCTTTGTTCTGGCCGGTTCGAGGCGCAGTACAATCACATCGCCATCTGGACAGGCCTGATGTAGATACCGCATGGGATAACCCATCCGACGTGTGCGTCTAGCCTAATTGTCTACCGATCCACAGGTTATGCAGAAGCCCGAGCTCATGTTCCGGCTGAGGAGTGAGTTGAGTGAGGGCTCGGCAAGAATCCGCTCTCCTTACCATGGACCAGCGAACGACATACCTATCTGGGTAAATAATCATGAAACTCGTACGGAGTACTGGAGAGGATATCTATCGGAATTGATCAAGTCCGTCCACTCAGATGCGGTGTTGGCTCGTCTCGTCTAGGCCTTGACTCTATCGTTTCAGCGGAGCCTCCTGGGCGTCTAGACTTGAAAATCGTGGATTATGGATCGTGGAAAATGCCTTGCAAGGCTGCTTTCTCTTGCTGCCCCTTTGTTTCATCATCTAATCTATAGTTATCTGTGGTTTGATCGAGAACGATCCACTAGTCTGATCTGATACTGACCATACTTCTGTGGGTTGCATTGCGAAGCCTCTCCGACCACGATTCCACGCCTCGATTGATGCCAAGTTGTACACGTCTATTGGGTTTCCAGAATGACCGGTCTCTCTAGGAACTGGGTGATGACTGAGGGACGCTCTACAAATTGGCTATTGGTGCATTCATTCTCCGTGCAATCATTGTGTGAGCGAGGTTGGTCATCTCAATTACTCCCGCGCCCAACTGCACAGTGAGTATCTCTCAGCCACAAGGGTGTTTGACTGTTGACCAGCTGGGTAGTGGGCTGACTCCATTCATTCCGAAGGCACCAAAGTAGTGACACTGATGACTACTGGATGTCAAAAGCTGACAGACCATTCCGTACTGATATGAACAGGATCTCGATATTCAATTCATTCTCATCCCCAAAACTCAATCAAGCATACATAATTGCAGATACAATTGAACTTTTTACTTATCATGTTACAATACCGCAGCTTACTCGAGTTGAACCTCGTCAAAACATAAAAAGCATCACTACTCCTGAGGATGAGAGAGCTGGTCGCCAGTCAAATGATAGGATCCAGGTGGCTTTGGATTCGTCTCCGAGGCACTAAACTGGCCAGGCTGATTGCCCCATTGGACATCGTTACTGGAGGTCTGTCGCCGACCGCAACGATTTAGTAATCAGGAACTTGCTACAATTGAGTTAAGGGAACTGGATGCGTACCTGTTTAGAGGATTCGGAGGTCTGGAAGCTACTCTGCTGGCTCTTCTGGTTTGTTTGCGACTGCATCCTGGGGTTTCTTTGCGACTGGAGGTCGGGGTTTTGCTGGCCCTGAGACTGGAATTCGGGGTTTTGCTGACCCTCAGACTGGAACTCGGGGTTTTGCTGCCCCTGAGACTGGAACTCGGGCTGGTCGCCGCCCATCCCACCAGCCATCGCTCCTGGCTGGTCCTGGGTTGGGTTGTTGCCGCTTCTGAGGTTGTAGTTGGAACTCATTATGATGATATTGGAAACTTGAAATTCAGTTGATTGATGATTTGCTTTTCGAAATGGTTGGCTTGGAACTCACGGCCCTTATATGCTACGGCTTCAGAAGTGTGGTTGAGGGTGAGGTCATAATTGCGTTCACGACGCAGGTCAGATGATGGTTTTCATACTGCTGTATGCTGATTGCTCCCTGTGTCATGGTGGCCTGACTGATCATGTACCTATTTCATCATATACCAGAGAATGGTTGTGGTGAGTATCGATGTGGATGATTGTCGCCGATGATGAGGCATTAAAAGCTTCAAGTGGCGAAAATCATAATATCAAACGATAGCTATGCCCACATCTTATCTAGAGTATCTACATACTAGTAAGGTAATGTTTTGATGATCATTCCAGGTGTCTGCCATTTATCTTTGAAATCTTTAAATGCTATCTGATCTACACTATCGAACTACTCCGATATTTCAGCCTGAGGCTTCTCTGTACAAGACTGCGCAATATATTGTGACTATATCTATACTACATAATATTACCCACATTCATTTCTCCATCCATTGATCAAAATGACTCACATTGACTAATCCATCCCCGTTATAAATATCACCTTAATCCACAGGGTCACCACCATCGTCAATGAGATCAAATTCCTCAGGCAGACCTGATCGCCACTATTCCCCTTTCGGACCCCGCTCTGCACTCAGTTCTAAACGCAGGCACAAACATTGTGACTCAGTGCAATTTGGGGAATCATCATGTAAATCATTCCTGAGAAGTGATTATCGAATGGGCTTGTGGCCGAGGTTGGAAAATTTGGGTGTGTCGTGGTTATTCAATACTAATATCGTGCATTGGCGTTGGCATTGACGAGGAGAGGGCATGCTTAACAATATACAATCGAAGCATTGATTAACCGAAGATTCTTTCATTTACTGTATTCTATAGAATAACTTCCATCGCGACTGCACCTAGTACTTGCACCATGACAATGACACCCTCCATCATAGCGACCTGCAAACAGACCCGATTCCATCTACTTCACGATCAGCCCGCGCAGGAGGTACGCATACATATACCCATATTATCGCCAGGACACGCGCTAACCCCACCTCAGATCGATGTAGAAGGTCTCACCATTGCAGTCACATCCTCGGCCGCAGACATAGCCGACGACAGTGGTCCCTCAAACCCCAAAGCAAAGGGGAAATCGAAATCGAAATCCAAGGCCGAGGCGCGCGAGCTCATCGTCGACGCTCACTTGCGACTTAAGGCGGGGGTGCATTATGGTCTGATTGGGCGAAATGGGACAGGGAAGTCGAGTATGTTCATTGAAAGGTTACCTTGGCCTATTGCGTAGCCATGCTAATGGATGATGAAGCGCTGCTCCGCGCTATGGCCGACAAACTAGTCCCTGGGATTCCGCATCTGACGCGCATTGCGATTCTGCAGCAGACTGAGACGGAGGATGAAATGCGGAGCTTCCAGTGCGATGGGGAGGACCGCGACAGGCGGGATCTACCCGTGTTGGAGTATGTCATGAGCAGCGATCGATTCCGCAATGATGTTGTGCAGAAAATCAATGGTAAGGCAGTAGCCTCGTTTTAACGGCAAATGGCTAACTTGTGAAGTCCTGTCGAAGAGCTTCGAGACGGAAGATCCGGTGGCACCTGTGCGGGCGATCCGGAGAATTCGTCACGATGAGATTGAGAAGCAGCTGTTCCTTGCGCAGAAGAATGCCAGCCTCAAGAGTGGTGCGAGGGGCTTACAAGCTCGGAAGGACTTGAAGGCGGCCGAGACGAGATACGAGGTTTCGAAGGAGCTGTGAGTTGTCCTCTGGAGGCTTGAGACATCCACTCATTCGGTGATAGGGTCGAGCAGCCTGATCAGCCTATTGATGCGGAGGCGCTCAAGGCCGAGACACAGGCGGCAATGGATACTTTGCAGGAATTACAGGGTCAGTTTGACGCAGTGAGTGCCCGAAACTAGGTTCAGACGATGACGAATACTAAGCATGACAGATGAAACTGGTTGATATTGAGAAGCAAGCTCGCCAGATCCTCGTCGGACTGGGTTTTGACGAAGCCATGCTCAGCAAGCCCTTCCTGGCTTTATCCGGGGGCTGGCGCATGCGTTGCCTGTTGGCCAGCGTTCTCATCCAGAACCCGGACATCATGATCCTAGATGAACCGACTAACTTTCTCGATCTTCTTGGAGTTGTCTGGCTGGAGAATTACCTACAGCAGTTACGGGACTCGTCCCAGACGACCATCGTGCTGGTATCTCACGACCGAGACTTTGTTAACGCCGTCTGCGAGGAGATCTTGATCCTCCGCGACCAGAAACTTACCTACTTCAGAGGCAACCTGTCCGCCTACGAGAAAGACTTTGAAGAGCAGAAACTCTACTGGGGCCGCATGAAGGAGGCACAAGAGCGCCAGATCGCGCACATGGAAGCGACGATTCGAGAGAACATCAAACTGGGCAAGAAGACCAATGACGACAATAAGCTGCGCATGGCCAAGTCCCGGCAGAAGAAAGTCGACGAGCGCATGGGCATCCAGGTCAACGCCAACGGTGGACGCTTCAAACTAAACAGGGACCTGGTGGGCCACCATCTCACCGCGCGAGCTGAGATTGAAGTACCAACGGACGAAAGAGGTGCCTCGATCATGCTGCCCGATGCCAGTGAACTGCGCTTCCCGGGTCCGTTGCTCTCGGCGGAAGGGGTGGGTTTCCGGTACACACGGAATGCACCGCCTATACTGAACGGTATCGAGCTGGTGATGCATATGGGCGATCGAGTCGGCATCATGGGGCTTAATGGTTCTGGAAAATCTACGCTCATCCGCCTGCTGACGGGCAATCTGCAGCCGACGCAGGGCAAGATATCCACCCACTCCAGGCTGAAGCTGGGATACTACGCGCAACATTCGATCGAGGAGCTCCATGAGCAAGGCCGAGCCGATCCTACTCTGACCGCATTAGGCTTCATGACCAAGGAGATCAACAGCGCACTTAGCGAGGGCGCGATTAGGGGCTTGCTGTCGTCACTGGGTCTTCAGGGCAAAATAGTTTCAGACGTGCCCATTGCACGATTATCGGGAGGTCAACTGGTGAGTCCTCAAGTCTGAGTAGCGATTTGCAGCTGCTGATATACTTTCAGGTCCGTCTGGCAATTGCCAAGGTAATTTGGAACTCGCCACATTTGCTGGTGCTCGATGAAATCACGACACATCTGGACTTTCATACCGTCACGGCTCTTGCGACCGCGCTGTCTTCGTTCAACGGTGCGATCCTCCTGGTGTCTCACGATCGTTTCTTGGTCCGGTCCGTCATTGAAGGCAAACGAGACAGCGAGCATAATTTGGATGAAGAGTTTGAAGGGGTAGACGAAGAAGTCGAAGAACAGAGTCGAAGAAGGTCAGTCTACGTGATGAAGGGCGGCAAGCTCATTGAGCAGCTCAACGGGGTGGAGCAGTTTGAACAGAGTCTGGTGAAGAGGGTCAAGAAGATGCTTTCCCAATAGACTATTCTAAGAACGGCCGATAATACTATACTGTATACCTATCAAGACAAAACGCGGGATGCCTGAGGCCAAATCTGATCACCTGCACCCAAGGAGATTTAATGGAAACTGACAGACGGCAAATAATTCCCCAGAATGCGACGTATGAGTCCACTGCTCGAATATCATGACCCGGCTTTGAATTGTCGTATTCCCGTTTCCCCGTTTCCCCGCCATGGCGACCGCACAGAGTTAAGATTAACTATGCAGTGGCTGGACGGCTTCAATCTTATTGTACTAGAGCCACCTCCGCCGACGGCATGACGGCATAGCTCGTTTCCTCCTGCCATATTTGGCCTCCTTGACGACCTTTCTGAATTTAAACGTGGAAAACCCGTACTTTCCCCAGAGTAGGAATGACGTGACGAAAAAGACATAAGGAGCCGTTTTCCTGGTGCTGGTGCACGACGTGTACTCCCGATCCTCCATCAGTGATCTCGCCATGATGAAGCGATCATTATTCACGGGTCTTTCTGCCCTCCAGGCCCTGAGCGTCTTGGCCGGTCCTCTGACTGAGAGGACTTCAGATGTAAGTACGATGCATAGCTGCTCACCCTACCCTGCTGACGAGTGAAGACGCCCAAATCATGCAATGAACCACCCGCCACACTTGCACTGAGCAGCGGTCCATATAACAATTACTTTTATTCCGACTGCAATGTGGCCGCTCAAGTTGTTGTCACTAGTCCACTGCCTGACAGCAATCTGAGCTTGATCGGGCCTCGGCTGATTGTAGCCTGGCCGGCGGGCAACAGCGGCATTTGCACATACTTTGCTCCTCAGAATGGAGTCAACGGCACCCTTGGTATTTCGGTCGTCAACTCTACCGTGGGAAGCCCACTGTCCCTCAATTACACGGCTAAAGAGTCAAACCCCGGGGTCGGGGTGCAAGGCACTCTCCGCTTCAACTCGTCGGCGGTGTTGACCGTCCCCATTCTGGGCAGTATTCGCACGATTCGGGATTTCGTCGAAGGGCCAAGTCTCCTGCAGTCTAAAATCCAGGATGCCATCCAGTTTACCAGCTCTCCTGATGGAAGCGTGATGCTCGAGCGTCTGTGGCTGGACAATGTCACCACGAGCGCCATCAAGTTTACTCCCGTCAACAGCACATCCAACGCCACCATCTCCGGCAAGATGGTTACCTTTGGGGCTGGTGACTACGTCTTTTCGGCAGAGATTGACTATCCGCAGTTGACCCAGCTGCCTCCGGCCGAGGTGCTAAACAATGCTTCTGCAGACCTAGTGTCCAAAATGCCCGTCCAGACCACTGCACTCTCGTTTCTCTCCTACTCGGAGAAACTTCTTGCTGGTGCATGGCGTTTTCTGACCTACTTTGGACGGGACCTCATGATAAGCGCCTTGCTTATGGATCCCGTCCTGAGCTACGGCAATGCCAGTGCCATGGAGGCGGTACTGGGCTCCGTCTGTGAGCGCATCAACGCTACCGATGGCAGTGCTTGCCATGAAGAGACTATCGGGTAGGTGCAAGACTTGGATTGAAAATGTATAAACTGACGCCCGGCTAGTGACTACGCGACTTGGCTGCATCTGCAGGAAAATGTCACCAGCACAGTGATAATCTGCGACTACAAGATGGTGGGTCTGCACCATTACGTTTATAAGAAAATGCTGACCCGGCACAGGTTGATACAGACTTTTACCTCGCGCCTCTCATGCAAAGCTATTTTCTGAACAACCCAGTCGGTCGAACCAGGTGGCAGGCATTCTCGAGGTTTGTTCCTTGTTTATAGTGTTCGATCACACGGCTGACGAATGTAGCACTCCTGCTGGTGCCATCAATGCTGCAAACAAGAATCAAACTTGGGGTCAGTTGGSGCTTCGCACCGCCGAAAAAATCATGAGTCAGGCCGCATTGTTCGCAAACAATCCTTGCAAAGAGAACCTGGTCCATTTGAAGCCGGATCAGATCGTTGGCGAATGGAGAGATAGCACATACGGTATGCCACCTTCAAGAAAGCGAATCACAGTCCCTCCTTCTAAGTCACTGCAGGAATCGGAGGCGGCCAAATCCCATACGACGTAAACACAGCCTTGATGCCTGCTGCCCTGCGCGCCATCGCAGCTTTGTCCCGAGCCGGCATCTATCCTGGCCATCCCGACTGGGCCGAAAAGGCTGATCAATACGCCCAGATATGGGAAGATGAGACTCTCCATTTCTTCCAGGTAGGGCCTGCGCTACTGCCGTTACTATACTTCGCCGACAGAAGACTAACGAACGCAGGTCACCGTCCCAGCCGAAACTGCCAAACAGCGTCTTACTTCCTACGTCCAAGCCGGCTACTTCTCCGGCCCCAGCGAAGCAGACACCATCGACTCCGACGTCGTCTTCCATGCCCTCGCCCTAGACGGCTACAACAATCTCTCCCAAGTCCAAGTCATGAACTCGGACGACTGCTTCCGCCACTTTCTCCTCAACACAACCAACCAGTCACAGCTCACCTCCTTCATCAACCAAACCGCCACCAACATCCGCCGCACATTCCCCGCCGGCCTCAACACCAGCGTCGGCATGCTCATCGCCAACCCAGCCTTCGGGCCCGACGCGGTCTATGCCCGCAACTGGACAACAGGCGCCTACCACGGCACGGTCGTCTGGTCCTGGCAACTAGCAATGATGGCCAAGGGCCTAGAACGACAACTCGGCCGCTGCGACGCCGGCCAGCAGAACGCGCGGCCAGACTTTTGCGCCGACAATGCCGTGTATAACAACCTCCGGACCGCGTATAATACCCTCTGGGACGGGATCGAGGCGAACAAGGCGTTGTTGAGCGAGGAGGTCTGGTCCTTTGTCTACAGCGATGGAAAATTCACGCCCGCGCCGCTGGGAAATATCCCTCCTCCTCCGGGTGTGAGTGCGCAGACTGGTAAGCCTTGGCCCCATCTTCCCTCTCTGACGCTAGGTACTAATTGATGATCCAAACAGAGTCGGACATCGTCCAATTATGGTCTTTGACGTTCCTGGCCGTTACACGGAACGAGACTTTTCGGTGATAACCTGCTTGATGAACCTGGGCTGCCTGCATATCATGCAGGTACAGAATCATTCGTGCATGTTCAAGATATGTCATGATAGGATATTCTCCTCTGTGTGGTGGTGTACATGGCGAGATCGAAGAACTCACGGATAATCTACCTAAATTTACATAGTCGTGCTCAGTATCCTTTCTAGACATCCGTTTCTGGTGTAAGGTGATACACTCTCCTCATTCTCGAGGATTTCTCTGCCGAGAAGCGTAAGGCGCACGACACACCAGGCAATGCAGCAGGGTCTTATGGGAGTCCATCGAAGAAATCTATATATACAAGGATACAGGAGAATTGTCCCGATACGTCAATTGAGAATCTGCCAGATAATCTTCGGTGCTGTCTTGATTGTTCGTTCCAGGAAGCAGCGGAGTCGAGGATAAGATGTACTCAGCCAGTCTGAGGGCAAACGTATGAAATGCTGAAAAAAATGCATCCAGCTTTTACCTCAGCTACTAATCACACAGCGTAAAGTCCTCCAGACCTGCGTCCGGGACATTGTCCTCAGGAAGGCAGAAGTCGACGTGTTCGCCTTTGAGGTTGGTGAAGACGGCCGCGTATGCTTTCTGCAAAACTTAGTACAAGACAGATTCTATTCAGGGGACATGGCATGTTGAAAGGAGACATGGCATACCTCAGCGTACGTGATAAACTCATCGTAGATACCATCGGCCTTCATCCTCTGACGGACGAGATCGGTGACTCCGCCGAGGAGGGCATTCACCGTTGTTACTTTGCTATCCCAGGTAAGGAGGGCTGAGACGCCCTTTCCATCGACGCGGGCGGATTCGGTGCTGCCGTAGGGGTCTATTCCGTTATTAGTATTGATCCAAAGGTGACAGTTGGAGGGAGACGTACTTTGCATCTTCTTGGCGATAGCCATGTTCCTCCACCAGGCGAGACCGACTCCCTTGTCGAAGAGGACGGTTGGGAATACGCTGTACGGTGTGATGACGTCCAGCTCCTGCTGCGGGAGGAAGGCGACGGAAGGGATGCCGGCGTTGGAGATGTACCCGGTCACGTCGCCGGTGGCTGGGTCGGTGATATTGTTCACGGAGGCGAACATGCCAGGGGTCCTGGTGACGACCGAGTTGCATGTCCGAACTCGTTCGGCGTTTTTAAAGACACGGCTTTGATGCGTTAGTTTTATTTGTTATACGGGAATGGATACTGACATACCGAATGATGTCGACGTCGTAGTAAGGCATTTCCAGGACCTTCCATTGCTCGTGGCTTGAGAACCAGTAACCTATTATCATCAGCGGGACTATCCTTTGCGAGCTTCGACGGACGTACCCTTTTGCACTGTAATGGGTCCTATGTGGCCCATATGGTAGTCGACACTCTGCAGCATGGGCTGCTTAACAGCCCAGAGCTGTTCTATGTCTGCATCGGACAGACCACCGAAGAACTGGAGCCAGAAAGTAAATAACTCACCCTCGTAAGGATCGTTGAGCCGACCACTGCCTTCGCAGGTGTATCCTTGGTCAGGATGATCCACAGGCAGGGACTGGTTCTTGATGGTCGTTACGGCGCACACTTGGCCTTTGCCTTCATAGAAGATCTTGAGAAATTAGTCAAAATTGTATTGCATGAGAGCAGGAAATTCTTACCTTGGCTCCAGTGGACTTGGTGTAATCCATCCACTTCTGCCACTCGCTGGCCAGTTTGGCATAAGATGACTTTCCAGTATTTTCCAAAGCTTGAACAAAGGCATAAACAGCCCAGAGAAGCTCACTTGGGAAGTCAGTTAACAGACTCAGCAGCCCTGGAATTGAAAATACCCATTGTCCAGTCCAGGAACACGATTGTTCCAGTCCCAAGTCGGTGTGAGGTCCTGGGCCGTGGAAGTGAACCAAGGAAGATAACCTCCAAACCCAGGAAATGTCTCATTGAATCTCAAGTATGTCTGCAGC